TGAGACGATGATATATAAACTAAAGCTTCTGTCTTTTTCTTTCCGGTTTTTTTTTTTAAAGGCGATGAGGTTTGGTGATCTCCCTTCATGGGCAATGGAACTTTCTCATCTCATACACGAAACTGTAGAATCTGTTGATCTTTCAGTGTTGCCTGCTGATTTACTGTGGAGGGATCCTCTGTTCGACCAGCTTATTGTCAATTTATACCAACCAGGTGAGGTACGATGCTTTCATTTTGCTCTTATCATCTTTATGAGTAAACATTTTCACTCTTCTTTACAAATAAGAATCAGTAGAGTAACAGTTTGATATGGTTTCTAAAAGCATTACAATTAGATAGTTTAAGAGAGTTTCAAAACAGGTGAAAACTGATAATCAGTCATTCATTATTCTGACATTATATCAAGATTTCACGACAATGCAACGTAAACTGGATCTTCTTTTTTGACAGGGGATATCTGCACATGTTGATCTACTGCGTTTTGAAGATGGAATCGCTATTGTTTCGCTGGAATCACCTTGCGTGATGCGGTTCAGTCCTGTAGAGGCGGATGAAGATCAGGATGTGGATGTTTTGTTGAGCCCGGGATCTCTGATTCTCATGTCTGGAGAAGCTCGGTATCGATGGAAACACGAGATTAATCGGAAGCAGAAGGGGTTTCAGGTATGGGAAGGAGAAGAAATTGATCAGAAACGAAGAATCTCCATTACCTTGAGAAAGCTGTCAATCTTGAGGGTGTGACAAAGCTAAATTTTAACTATTATCTAGCGGTCATCTTTTTGTAGATATGATTCATTGATTAGTGATTTACTTAAAGCAACGCCTACCACGACATCAAATTTGGTGTCTAAATCACACTACATTTGGTGTTTAGTGTCCCATATTTTTTTTTGAAACCACAACACTAAATCTCACCCTAAAAAAATAATTGCTTCATTGATTAGCCACTTCTCATGTCTAATATCAGTTATCACCTACTTTATCAGAAAAATGAGTCGATCGTAGTCGTTGAATTTATTTTAACAAGATCTAACTCTGACATTGATTAGTCACTTCATGTCTTATATTAATTATCATCTTATCAGGAAAAAAAATGAGACGATCGTAGTCGTTGAATTTCTTTTACTAAGTACTAACCGTTGTATTGATTAGTCACTTCATGTCTTATATCAATCATCACTTTATCGAAAAAGACGAATCGATCTTAGCCGTAGAATTTCTGTCACTGAATCTGCCGTACTTTCTTCTCTATGGGAACTTGTGATCCTTAGTATATAGCACTTTTCTGAATACCGGTAAAACTTTTACTTTTTACTGGATCAGGAGACTAACGAAACGTGTCAGATACTTGATCACAAAGAGTCAGGCGCAGATATACGAGTGAATGGTAGTTGGATATGTAACAGTTGATTTTGCATTCACTTTTCTATGTAAATGATACTACACTATCTATGATCAAACATCATAAAGTCTTTTTTTACCACTAATATTTCTTATAAAATGACTTGAAGCCACCCTTCGTC